AAGTTTTGTTTTGCTTTATGTAATAGAGTTGTAGTATTAATAATTAATGTTTTTTTATTATCTTCTACTAAAGTATATGTTGATAATTGTGTTAAACAGTTCAACTGTACATCATTTTCATTTTTGTCCATTTTTTTTTATTGACATATTTCAATTGTAAATTAAACCGAAAAAGTGATAATTCATCCATTTGGTTTAATTCGATGTGAAAGTTAATATTTATTTTTATCAGAAAATGTTTTTAGTTTTAAATGTATAAACAGTCGTAGATTTAATTTGTATTACAATTCGTGTTACTATTCTTTTTTTTTACAGAATCATATTATTTATTAAAATTTTACAACGACTTGGTTGACCTCTTAAGTCACCCGACACTTAACTTTTTTAGTCTTCTATTTATGGCAAAAAAAACGATGGTTTATAAATATAGGATAGAAATAGGAAGATGAACTTTATGATCGTATTTAAAATTTAGTTAATATTATTTCCAATAGAGTTGGAATATTTCAAAGAGTTGGACAATCACCAACTTGACGAATAGAAGATTATACTTTTTACATTAAAAAAATAATTTCTTGATCAATTCTTAAAAGTAACAGAACAAATCATAAATATCTATTAGATAAATCATTTTTCGGAGATAAATTTATACAAAATTATTTTATATATTTATTTTTATTTATTCTATTATTTTATATAGAAAAAAAATAATTAAAATAACTTTTTATTTAATTTATTCAGTAATTTTATTAAAGACAAAGTAATTAAAATAATTATTTAATTATTTTATAAAATAACAATTAAAGTAATTATTTATTTATTTTATTTATTCAATTATTTAACAAAATAATAATTTAAATTATTATTAATTTATTTCATTTATTCAATGATATAAAAAATAATAATAAAAATAATTATTCGTTTCATTTGTTCAATTATTTTATTAAAAAGTTAATCAAAACAATTATTTATTTATTTTATTTATTCAATTATTTTATTAAAAAATTAATTAAAATAATTATTTTTTTATTTTATTTACTCAATTATTTTATAAAAAAAATAACTAAAATAATTATTCATTTCATTTATTTATTCAATTATTTTATATTCATTTATTTCATTCAATTATTAGATATATTTCATTAATTTTTGACAACACTAATCCATTGATAAAAAATTTGACGTGTAAAACTCTTTCGAACACCCTATATATACGTTTATACAGCAATTAGATCTAGTCATCAATTTCGTCGAGTATAATTAACGTATAAATAATACGTAATTGGTATAGGAATAATTGTGTGGATTCTCTTGCACACGTAATTACATATAATTGGTAGATATAAATGTTATTATAAATATTAAAAAATAGTATTAATATTAATAAGTTATTAGAGTGACTTTAATCGTAATGATATATTGTATTACATTCCAGTCCAAATGTCGGTGGCAATAACAACGAAGTTTCAGCGTTGACCGCTGGCTTTGGTGACGCATTAACCGCAGCACTGGACGTGATGGCCTTCGCACATGATCTTGATCTCTCTGCGGGTACAACTGAGGGAATACCTGCCGGCAACATCAACGACAAACAACAAACTAAGATCCAAGCAAAAGTCCCTAATAGTTATCAGAGTATACCTTCAACGAATGTTCAAGAGAATTCACAAACGAAACTACAAACTTTAACCAAATTTCCTGAACTTACTAACAATTTTCTTGAGAAACCTATTGAGCCCATTAACGTTCCAATTGGTAAGTTTTAACCAAATATGTTACAACCAAGTAATTATTTTTACAGCAGCTCTAGAATCCTTAGTTCAAAATATTAAATTTATTAGCATTTAATAAAAGAAAATTTTGTTTTAATTTAAAATTTTTATTTATAATTATGAAAGTGGTCTAAATTGTTTATGTGGTGTTGAAAATCAAAGTGGACTCAACATTTGAGAAACACGATTTAGAAAAATGTACAGATTTTTATAAATTTGTTTAATAGTGACAACCATGGGGTCTTCTAGATCTTATATTTTGTTCAAATATGATACATTGAACCTTTTAAAAAATGAAAATGATCAACCATTTGCAAAAAATACGGAGACAGAACTTTTGTAATAATTTTTATATTAATAATTCACTTTTGTTTCAATAGTATAAAGGGTAGTGGGGTTCTGTTTTGTATTCGCAACGTCGACAAATCGAATCCCCGAAGGGGAGATTTTTTTTTTTTTTTTTTTTTTTTTACATTAATGTAAAGTATGTTTGTGTGTATGATTTACTTTATTTTTTTTTCTCCCCATTTTTCTATAGAATATATTAATATTATAAGATATAACAAAAAGAAAGGATATATACATTTGTATTTTATTTATAATTATTTTCTTTTTGATTATATTATTTTAATATAATTATTTTAATATAATGTGGGGGTTTCAGACAGACAGAAAAATGTATAAAACTGAAGATGATATAATATAATTTATTAAATTATGATGATGTGATGTCGAGCGGTATTTACATAAGTTTACACAAAGTGGCGTGGTTACAGAAATACAAATGCAAATGAGTTACAGATATAACATACAGACAGATACTGAAGACTATTGACTGACTAACTGAGGACTGAAGACTAAGGATACTTTCTTACTTATTTCCACATATTTATATCAGAAATGAGATACACCCCTTTAGAGAGGGAAGGAGATTATAAATCTTATTGACCAATAGCATAAGGATCCACCCCATAGTCCACCGATGGGTACAACCTATAGTTTTTGGTAGTGGAAACTATGCATAAAAAAACTTGATCTGGAACATCGGAATGTTATCTCTTTTATGGTATATCGCATATGTTTACATAGGAATCCGAAATTCTTCAAAGAGTCCCGACACTGCACAAAGGGTTTTTATTGCACCAATATATCCCGATAATTCTAAGGTTTGTTTTATGGTTTTATGGCCCTCCTAAACTTTCCTTTTAGTTTCTGAATAGAGTTTCCCTTTTCAGAAAATAAAATATAACGAAAAGAACTGAATACTGGTTTTTTTTTTCCTACAATAATATAATTTTAATATAATTAATTATTTACTTTTATATTATAATTATTTTAATCTAATTATTTTATATATTATTTACTTTTATATATAATTATTTATATTTATATTATTTGAGTAATGATGTGTGTGTGTGTGTTGATTGTTTTTAATAAAATAAAAACGTTTACACAAATAGAAGAAACTTTACACGTTTTATAATATCAACTAAAATTATGCAAAGTTTGAAAAAAAAACCTTGATAGGTCAGTTTTAAAAATAGAATCTTTGCATTTATGTCTTTGTAGGTCAATAAGAGAATGATTTTACATATGTATTAGTTTTATTACCAAATACTGGATATTTTGGAAGACAATACAGTGGTTTGGTCCACTTTGGTTCGCAATGACTCATATCTATTGTTTCGAGATATTTCGAGGATTACATTTGTACATTTAAATGAATTCCATATATCGTTGAAATAACAAACACTATCTATTTATTTTTTGCGCAATATCGTAAAAAATTACATTGAATTAATTTCATTGAAAATAATGTTCATGTGAAATAACTGATAAGCTCATTTGATTTTTTTTGTTTTAATTTTTGACTCACAATTAGACTACTTTTATAATTGTGGTCACGTTTACAGTGTATAGTTTTTATAGCTAATGATTTTTTTCTTCTCTTTCGTAATTGTTTATTTTACTTTTATATTTATTTGTATTTTTGAACGATGCGTTATCGAAAATAGTTTGCAAAATATTATACATTATCACCCGATATAAATATTCTCATTAAATTATTGTAAATAACAGGTACATAAAACATCTAACACATTAATCTCGTAATACGGGAGTCTGTAAATATATTAGCGTTAAAATATGTAATTTATTAATTTATAAAATATCTAGGCATTTAGAGGAAAATATATAAAGTGAATTTTATTATATTATACATTTTAATTAATTGTTTTATAAATAATATAACTCTTTTGCAACAGTAAAATTTATTTTTCGAGATATAATATTGTAACATAATTTTATAACTATTTTTGTTGATACAACCTGTAATGCATATGATTTAATTTCAATCTCGTTTAGAATCTAAACTGTCCAAAGAAGAGGATCCATTTTTAAAATTAATCATAGCATCGGAGTTGACGAACGACGAAGAATTGTTACCAAAATTAGCAAAAGATGTTTTAGAGGTAGCAGAAAAATCAGTTCAAATGACAACAGAGACGACTAAATCAAAGTCACAAATTTTAGAAGGATTAGCTTTGATTATGGCACCAACCAACATAGAAAATTCCGTCCCAAAAAAACAATACTTCGTTGAATCGAGTGACAATGATCTTGATACAAGTAAGGTTATGTTAAGGTTATGTTATTGATAAGAAACAACAAATTCTAATCGAATGTATTAACATTATTTAATTTATTTAAGATGAAAAAAGTTTAGGTACGGAATCGTATCTTAGAAGAATCAGGTCAGCGAACAACAGATTTATGAAGAGTAGAAAAAAATGTGGAAGGAAGCCTGGCAACGACAGTTCTTCCTCGTCCTCGTCTACGTCTACTTCGGCGTCGATGTACGTCGACGAGAATATTATCGGTTATAGGTCTTTGCTGAATGGACCGGAAGAGGAACCGACGAAGCGTATACCGAACAAAGATCGCAAGAAGTCTGTCGAAACAATTAAGGACGAGGTCGAACAAAATGGTGCTGCTACTTGCAATCCGTTGGAGGATAAGCCACAGAAACGACGACCCAAGACAGCTAGGAATAGGTATCATCTTTTTCTATTTCTTTATTCTTTCTTTTCTTCTATTTTTCTTTTGAAAGAAAAAAGAAATCAAAAGGAAAATCGAATTTTGTCTTCAAACAAAAATTTGTCTTTATCAAAACGCAGCCATATTAGTTATTTATATGTGATTACGCCATTTTATTTAATATGGCGTCTATTATTATTTACATAAATCATAGAAATAACGACCGAAGACAGCTACGAATAGATTTTTATTTTCTCTATTTTCTATTTTTATCCTTTTTTTCTTCGAAAAAAAAGAAATCAAAATAAAAGTCAAATTTTTTTTTCAAACCAAAATTTGTTTTTACCAAAACGCAGCCATATTTGTTATTCATATAGTTCCGCCATTTTATTCAATATGGCGTCGATTAATATTTACATAAATCATAAAAATGATAACCGAACACAGGTAGGATTAGATATCTTTTTTTATTTTCTTTATTATTTTATACATTTTATTTATTTTTTTGTTTTTGTTTTTGTTTTTTCGAAATAAAAAAACAATCAAAAATAAAGTTGACATTTTTATTAAACCAAATTTGTCTTTACTAAAAGCAGTTATATTTCTTATTTATAAGATTCCGCCATTTTATTTAATATGGCTTTGCTTATTATTTCCATAAATTATAAAAACGACAATTGAAAACAGTTAGAAATAGATTTTTATTTTCTCTGTTTTCTATTTTGATCCTTTTTTCCTTTGAAAGAGAAAATAGATCAAAACAAAAGTCAAATACTTTCTCCAACAAAAAATTTGTCTCTACCAAAGGCAGCCATATTAGTTACTCATATGATGTCGCTATTATATTCAATATAGCGTTGCTTATTATTTTCATAAATTATAAAAACGACGACTGAAAACAATTAGAACAAAATTTTTTTTTATTTTCTCTTTTCATGCATGTTTTTATTTTCTTTACAAGAAAAAAGAAATCAAAACGAAAGTCGAATTTTCTCTCCAAACAAAAAATGTGTCTCTACTAAAAGCAGTTAAATTTTTTATTTATATGATTCCTTCAAAATTCCTTCAAAAATTTGTATTTACCAAAAGCAGCTATATTAGTCACTCATATGATTTCGCAATCTTTTTCAAGATGGCGATTCTTACTATCTCCGTAAGCCGTACAAACAACGACAGAAAACAGTAAAGATTGACTTTCTTTTTTTTTCTCTTTCTTTTCATTTCTTTCTTCAAAATAAGAAAAAAGAGAAGAAAAAGAAAAAGACCAAAAATATAAGAGACAAAAGTAGAATGTCTGTTTCCAACAAAAATTTGTCTTTACCCAAAAGCAGTCATATTAGTTATTTATATGATTCCACCATTTTATCCAACATGGCGTCATTTACACTATCTCCATATTCATTGAAGCAATTTAATGGGTATTTTTACTCGAAAGAGAATCATTTTCTCACTCGGTTTGCCAATTATCTATCGTCCTGCAAGAACAAAATAAATATCGAAGAAAATAGAGAGGTTATATTTCTCTCATTCTTTCTTTCATTATGTCTTCTTCTCTTTCTATCTCTCTCTCTTTCTCTTTCTCTTTCTCTTTCTCTTTCCCTTCTTCTTATTTTATCTCCAACGACATCGTCCCACCCTTTTTTTCCTTCTTAATACTACCTCGTCGTCTTGGTCGTTTAATTGAGCCGATTATTGCTACAAAGCATCCATATTTCATTACAGGAAATTGATTATAACGCTTGACCGAACTTACCCGATACTTTTTTTGAACAATTATCTTCGTAAATTAACTAAGCAATATTCTTTTTATTACTTTTTCTTTTTTTTTTCTTTTCTATCGTTAGAAAATGTCGTCCTTTAGCACACAAGACAGATACTTATGTACAATAGGACACCCCAGTATTATATGAGATATATGTTTGTTCTTCGTAAATACCAATCTAAGTGTGCACAAAAACTATAATTACATAAATAATTAATGTAGGATATTTTTTATAATTTTTACTTGTAAAATACAGTCTTACGAAACTCACAATTAATTTTGTCTTATGGTTTGATGGGGTTTTTAATTAGATTGATCAGTTTAGAACTGTCTTCTGTATTTTTTTTTTATCGTTTTTAAATTGACATTACCTGTAGAATTATTATTGTGACTTATTGTAACTAGTTTAGTTAGAAATTATTTTACGAATTAATCACACTTCTCTTTCACTATGAATATATATATATATATATCATTCTTGATGATATTTCGAAGGAAATAGGCTTGCATTGACGTCTATCTAGTTCACTCGATAAATCAATTATTATTCGAGTAGGCTTAACTTTTAGAAAGTACAAGCTCAATACCCGAGATAATATCGACAAGTAGTTTCAATAGCAAATTGAAAGATTTAGAACAACCAAAATAACTAATTATTATATAGAACATAGTATATATATATATATATATATATATATATATATATATATATATATTTTTTTTTCTTATATTATGCATAATATTATGCAATCCTAATAAAATATCCTTTAAAAGAAAATTAGCTTAAATTTAACTCGAAATAGAAATACAACTCATATTATTATTCTTAAAATGTATCTCAAAAGCTTCATTTATAAAAAGTAAATGAATTAATTACAAAAATAATTTACAGGAAAAGGTTTTACCTAGAAATCGTACATGTTAATGTAACTGTAAAAACAAGAAAAATACCTGCTTTTTATGTATAATAATTGATCATCCTGTATTTTTACTATTATTTCAATGTTATTACTTTAGTATCAAAATCCATTTAATATCCATAAAAATATGAATAATACAAAATACATTTGTTTAAAAATGACATATTTATTAATAYACTTTRAACATTAAATAATTTMRATTTGATATTTTATTAGATGAAAATTTTCAATTCAAAGTCATCACTGGCCAGGAACATAAAAACAAATGTATTTCAGTTTAAACTATTCAAAATATTAGTAAAATATATTAGAGTGTTAGATATGCCTGAAATGATTGATAATTAATCGAAAAAACTGTATATTGTAGTCTAATAGCACGAAGTATGAGTTCGACGTACCTTTCTCTTCGAGATCCACCATTAAACTGTCTCATTGTCCTCCGTGAAAGTTCTTTTATTGATTTTTGTTTATATGACTTCTCGAAGACTACATATGTATAACGTAAACACTATTTTGAAAGTCATATGAACAAGAATTAATAAAAGAATTTTAACTGACTTTCGTAGAGAACAATGAGACCCAGTCCAACAGTGGATTTTGAAGAGAACAGTACATCGAACTTATAATCCGCGTTTTTAAATAACAATATACATTTTCTTTGATTAATTAACAATCATTTAAGATATATCAAACACTATCAAGGTATGTCACACCCTCATTCATCCTTTCATAAACAAACGTATCTCACAATAAGTATCGATCGACGTATCACATCATACTAATACACATACACATAACCCTAACCTAGAATCTTCCATAATCTCGTTAAACTATCAATCAACTGTAGACTCTATTTCACTATTTCTCTTCCTTTCTATTCGTGTCGTTTCATAAAATGTTATCATTACCCTCGCTTAATAAGTTTTGTACTTTAAAAATAAAAACAGAATCATTGTAACAATAGATGAGGTATAAAGTGATTAACGAAAGTATTCAAACACTAGGTTCTAAAACACGAAAGAATAACCGTATATGTAAAAAATATGTCAAAATATGTGGAAACATATGTTTAACATACAAAAATATGCCGTAGATTGTTATATCATTCCTTCAGAAAATTATATAAACGAGAAACATAGAAAAGAATTTTAATTGACTTTCATAGAGGACAATGAACCCCAGTCTAACAGTGAATTTCAAAGAGAATCTTACATTCTAAATTTTAATATACATTTTCTTCGATTAATTAACGATCATTTCAGATATATAGAACATCATTTGTTCTATTTCACTCTCTCTTTCTCTCTCTCATTTCCTTTTTTTCATGTCGTTTCATAAAATATTATCTTATTATTAATCTTTTCTATATTTAACGTAATTTCCTAATGTTTCTGATCAACAAAATTAATTTTGTTTTGAACATTTCTATAGTTGTAGGTTTTAAAAATGAGTCCTGAAAATGTCAACAAAATATGCATCCCATATCAATTATGCAATTATATCCCATATAATTATATTATCCCATAATAATGATTTACCCATGGCCCGTAGCAAATCTCTTGAAATGTGTTCAACAATCAACGTGTTAAAATCAACCAAATCCTAATTGTTTCTATCTCGTTTTTTTTTTTTTTTTAATTATATGCGCAGAGTAGCACCGAAGGATGAACCAATTGATAAAAGAGAATCGATTGAACGAAATAAGATACCTTTTGAAACGATTACAACGACGACAACGATGGAAATAGAAACTACGACAGATCCGTTGGAACCATGGAGCACGCGTGGTATTAAGGACATGAACGCCATATTGGCTTGGAAGGAAAATACGCTGGACAGTCCTTAATGTAACTTTATGATACTGAGGTTGCACGTACAACAGACACCTCCTACAACCAACCAAACCATCTAACTACACACACAGACATAACATACATACATACATACGTATATAAACGCACTCAAACAACCCCCCAACACTAGTGTCCTGATTGCATCGACGAAAAGACTCTACTTTCGCTTGACTCGAAAGTTTACACGCCTGAAGAAATTGGAATTTAAAGAAGGTCGGAGGAAGACTTAATGGGTGAAAGAAAAAAAGAGATAGAAATATATTAAAGAATACCACAGTGGTACACCTTAAAAAATAATAATAAAAAGAAAAAGAAAAAAAGAAATCAAATAATACAATAAAAAACAAAAATTAAAAATTCTTATGTTTATCTTTTCTTTATTATAATATATATATAGTAGTTTATTATTTATTATTACAGTATAGTAATATTAATAATATATGTGTGTGTATATACATATATATTGTTAATATATTATAGCAGTATTAATAATATATATATAGTAGTATATATATGTATATATTATTTTTAGATTTTCATTTTCATTCATTTTTCTAATATAGTTGTTTAACATTTATTATTACAGTATAATAGTATTAATAATGTATATATTATTTTTACATTTTCATTTACATTAATTTTTTTTAATATAGTAGTTTATTATTTATTATTACAATATAGTAGTATTAATAATGTATATATTATTTTTACATTTTCATTTACATTCATTTTTCTAATATCTTTTTTAACATACATCTATTATCTACCGTAAATTTCATCGTCACTTGATAATTTTTAAAATTAAAATAATAAGATATAAGAGCCCTTAAGATTAACGATTTTCTAATATTAAAAAATATCCAATAGTGTTTATAAATATGTGAATAAAATTATTTACAGATAACACATACAAAAATATACACGTAAGCGCGCCATATACGTTTACAGATAATTACACACACACACACACACACAAAATTAGAGTTTACACAATTAGAAATAAGTTCTATATAGATTTATATTTGTTTTTCTATATATTTAGATTATATTTTAAAAGTTTTTACAGTAACGTCCTAATCATTTTAAAATATAAATATTAATAATGAATTTAACGAATAAAAAATAAACTCTATATATATATATATATATATATATATATATATATATATTTATATTATTGTTCTTTCTTTTTTATTATTTCAAATTATTATTTAATTAATTTTCATAGTGTTAAAAACATGAATAGAAGAGAAGTTTCATAACTTCAACGAATAGGGCAACGTTAAGATTATTATTACTTTCGACGAATATCAAAGATGAACACAAGAGAGGTGCAGAAGGAGTGGTTGGGGATGTGGAAGAGGGTGGGGGGGGATAAAGTCAAGTCTATAACAAAACGCATATACATTATATATTATACGTACATATTATACATTTGGTGTACGGAGAAGAAGACTACAAGGAATCCTTTAGTAGTATACTTTAAAAGGGCTTTAAACTTGAACTACACTTTACAGGGTTTGTCAATTAGGCAATTAAAAGTTGATGTGTATAAAGGAAGGAGGATTTCTAAAGAGTGGGATATAACAACAAAATGAACGTAACAACATGGCTTAGCAATTATAACGCTCGTTTGATAATTTCAATAATAATAATAATAATAATAATAATAATAATAATAATAATAATAATAATAATGATAAGTTATGTTTATATCTTTCATCTTTTTTTCAATTTTTGTCTCTCTCTCTCTCTCTTTTTTTATTACTCTTTCTTTCTGTGTTACGATGAAGAAGTAATTATTTATCGATTAATTAATTTGTTTGTTTATTAACGGATAGAATTATTGGATACATAGAAAAATAAATAAATAAATATAATGTGAAATTTTATTAATAAAAGAAATAAATAAAAGAAATATTTGTAGTATTTATAATTAATATTAAATATTTATTTATTTAAAATTAATTCATTTCTATTCATTATACATTAAAATTGATATAATTTAGAAAAAATAATTAAATATTAATTGTGTTTAATAATAAACGTTAATTATTATTTTAAATTTATAAATAAATGTTATTATTATTATTTAATATTTATTAATTAACTTATGTTAACTAATGAATATTAATTATTATTATAAATAACTAAATTAACAAAATAAACTTATTTTTTCTTTTTTTTTTTAATAAAATAAAAATTAATAATTTTTAAAATAAAATTAGAAATATTTATACGTATTTATAAATAATTAACAAATTGTAATGAATTAATATCGAATAGACTAAGAATTCAAGGTCCTGGTACCAACTAAAATCGAAAGTATATTTAAAAATAAAATTTAAACAAAAATAAACCCCCAAACTTAATATTTGAGTCGTTGATTTTGAAAATGGAACAAATTTATATTATGTTATTGCTAAATATTTTAATTTAAATAGTTTTAAAAAAATATTCGCGCGTAAGTAATAATAAATTTATTTTATATGTTAATACATTTATTTTTTAAATTAATTCAAAACATATATTTTATGTTTATTTGTAATAAAAATTTGTCTAAATGATAACAATTTCATAAAATGTATTTTCTACATTTTTAAAATTAACAGCTCATTTATTGACACGTATCAAGTACATAGATCAAACAATTATTATTTTACATTATTGTTTCCTTGTTGAATATTTAATTGTTTTGTGAACAATCTTTTTTTGTACGAAGATTCCACGAACAATTATTTTTAATTTTTTCTTTTTTGATTTGTCGATATATTTCAACATAACCTACAAATATAAATTAATCATGCAAAAGTTTATTACCATCTTTTTTGAACACCTTGTATATAGGATAAAGTTGTTTAAGTCGCATCTCATAAGAAAATAAGCTAATAAAATGTGTGTTTTATAAAGAAACAAGAAATATTTTTAACATTTATAACTTCATTTAAAATTGATTATATTTTGTTTTCATCTTTTTAATAAAATTCGAAATATTTCTAATTTTTTTATACACAATTATAATTACAAATCGTACTAAATTTAATATCGACACGATTAAGACATAAGAATCCTGAAAAATCATACCTAAGAATAAAATTCAAAAAATAACAAAACAAAAGGTAATATTTATAAACTAATTATTTAGTTAAGTGAATTTATTTGTTGTTTTGTTAATTTCAACACATAAATCGTATTGTAATCATCCAATCATACTTAATGTACTAGAAATCGCTTAACTAATCACTTTTACTTTTTTTGTCTTGTCAACATTTTTCAACATAACCTACAAATACGAATTAATCCTACATTAATGAAAACAAAAAACAATGTATCCTTTAAAATATTGAATTGTCCGGAAAGTTCGTACCAATGTTGACAAAAGATTAAAACGCAACTCATTTAATGTTTTTTTTTTTTTAGTGTATATTTATTAAATTATATATATATATAAGTGTAATTCTGTTGCACAAACTTTTTTCCATCTTTATGAATAACCTCAAAATGTCGTCTTTCCAGAACTTCTCAGGTTTTTCAGCAACAAAAACTTTATGCCACCTACTGAAAATAGACATGAACTTTTCAGACAACCGGATATATCGAGTACAATTTAAGTAACTTCTGTAAATACGATTTGCATTACGCTTTTTTTATAAATAAACATTTAATAAAATAACAAATAGAAATATTGAAGTATTACAACATACGAATTGACTATTTTTACAGAATACCACAGAATAATAAAAACAAGAATATATGAACAACATATTGATGTGAAACTTAACAAACACATACACAAAATTATAAGATAACAACCATAAGTTTACTTGTTAAGACGTTATGTTAGCAAACAGCCGGTAACAAACGCTGTTTGCGTGAACCAATATCGTTGACGTACCGAACAATTAACTGCAGCTGGGAACTACGTTGACATGATATTTAATTAGGAACTTTAAAGGTACGATTTAAATAGTTGTACTGACTTAATCAATCTTATCATAAATCGGATTAACAGAATGAAGAAGACAAAAATTAACAAATATTAGGATTAATAATTATAAACAAAAAAATACAAAATCTATCTATACTTATCGAACAATAATATATGAAATGAATTTTTATTTATAATAATCTTCTATTTTATTTTTTCATAGATTCAACTAATTTTATAAATATTTAAAATTCGATTAACCCTTTGAATGTTGCAAACTTTTAGTTGAAATGTTTTGTATTATTTTTTTATAATAATTTCGAAGAGATATTCACAATTATTTAATATCAATCACCACCTTATATATTATAATAATTAAAAAACATAAATAATTTTCATTTTCATATAAAACACGTATATGTTCGAAATCCTAATACGACAGGGGATACCAAGAAAATTGGTCAACCTGGTTCAACTTTGCCTAAAGGAAACTAGGAATAAAAAATGAGGATGGGTAACCAAATGTCGGAAGATTTTAGTATCCATAGCGGGTTAAAACAGGGGGACGCATTGTCACCCCTTTTGTTCAATTTAGTACTGGAATTCGCTGTCAAAGAACTGCAGAAAAGTAAAGATGGTCTACAGTTGAA